AGGAAGCACCGGGTGTCCGCGGCCAAGCCCACACCGGAGAGCCCGGCGCCGAGAGGCCAGGCCCAACGCAGGCTCAGGCCGTAGCAGCCCTCGGCACCCCGGGAAGGGTCAGCTGGGAAACGGGCACCCACCCTGCTGGGACCCCGCTGCAGAGCGAAAGCAGGAGGGCAAAAGAGGAGTCTGGGGGAAAAAAAAGAAAAACAAAAAAACACAAGGCAGGAGTCCAATAAAACTATGTTTATAAATAAAAACAAGGAGATTGGTTTTGTTTGTATAAAACCCAGTGGGCAGGGTAGGGCAAGGGCAGGAGCGGTGGCTGGGGAGGCTGCTGGGTGGCATCGGGAGAGGGGGGGACAGGTGGCAGGTTGGCGACGCTGAGATTGAGGGACAGGAGGGTGGCAGAGAGCGGGCATGGGGCAGACTGGGAAAGGAGAGGCTTTGGGGAGCCACGGGGAGACGAACCGATGGCACGTGAGAGCTGGCAGAGGGGTTGCAGGCACAACGCAGACCCCAGAGGAGCAAAATACATTTCATGTCTAAAGTATAAAAACTGCAAACATGAGAAAGATGAAAGGAGGCAAAGCTTGCAGAGAAAGCCACGGCGCAGCAGTAGGAGAGGGCGCCGGGGCACCAGCACCGATGGGAGCAGGGTCGAGTGCGGCTCTACTGTACTGTGCTTGGCCCTGGATGTGGAGAAGGGGATTGGCCCCAGTCCAAGGCACCCAGAAGTAAAAAGAAGACAGGCAGGGAGTGCCAGAGTGAACAGACTCAACTGTCCTGGCACATCTGCGGGCACCAAGCACAGAGGCCACAGTTCAGGCTGCAGCCTCCCTCCTCGCAGAGCTCGTGTCACTGTAGGCCTGTAGGGCGTGAGGCCATCCCAGCTCCATCTCAGAGCCTCGTCCCTCCTGGCAGCCAGGCCAGAAGCACTCGTGATGCCAAGCAGAGGGAGAGGCAGACTTGGACCCTTCATAGGGCAAATACAGGGGACATCCACATTTCCCCAAAGTGTGAAAGCAAACCCAAACCATCCCTCTCCTTCTCTGTCCAGGCCCTCCAAGATGTCACATCACTAATCAGCGGTGCAACTGCAGGAGGGAGAAGACCACATCTGCTACAGCCAGCCCCAGGCATGGGACAGCCCCTGCAAACAGGACAGGCAGCAGTGTGGCACAGGCAGGAGGGCGAAGAGCAGGACAGAGAGAGCAGAGCTCTGCCCTTACATCCCCCCCAAGTACCCAAGGGCAGCTGCGGGGCCCCGAGTCACCTAAGACTGTGCACAGGCACCCACCACTGCTCAACCCCAAGCCTCATGGCCCAGGCAGGTTGAAGGAAGATCCAGCCATGGGGCAGTACCATGCTCTGATGTGGCCCAAGGAGCGGGCAAGAGGGAGGCAAAAGGGAAGGGGCAGCATCTCTCCACTCCCTGGAGGCACTGAAGCCCTGGAACATTCATGCATTAGCCAAAAGGCAACTACAATGGGATTTAAAACATATATAAGGCTGGTCCCTGCTCCCCTCTCAGGGCTGCGGGAAGGGCAGGGCGTCTTCCGCAAGGGGGAGGAAAGAAGCCATCTTCAGCACCACGCGTGCCCAGCGCCCTTGGAGCTCCGTGTCCTCCTGTCGGGCCACGCCACGCTCCAGCTCTCCCCCCCATGGGCGGCAGGCTCAGAGAAAGTCAAACACCCCGTAATTCTTTGCTGCTTGACAGAAGAAACACAAAAGGGTGAAAAGAAAGAGGAGATGTTTAGGGTGGAAGGACTGAGGCAGCAGCGACACACGGGCAAGCAGCACAGGGCGCTGGGACGGATGCGGATTAATGGGGTTAGAGAGGACGGCAGGAGGGAATTACCATCGGCAATACACAAGTCTGGTGGCGGGATAGGCTGGCAGCGCCCAGCAGGCCTGCCAGGCCTGTCCACCCGGCTGGAGGAGGGATTAGAATCAAGGTTTAGTTCCATTTATTATTTTTTTCCCTTTTTTTCTTTTCGTTATCAAGACCAAAAAAAAAAAACCAAAAAACAACCAAAACAAAACAAAACAAAAAAAACCCAAAAAACAAGGGGTGAAGCCAGGGCTGGTCCTAGGAGACAAACGACAGGGATGGAGGGGGGAAGGAGGGGCAGCAGACAGACAGGGGATGGGCGCTTCACATTACATCCACAAAGAACTCACTGGGGTTGCCCATGGCCATTCGGAAGGACTGTCTACTGGCCGTCAGTTCGGGGGGCACAGAGGCCAGGTCACGGCCTGGCGGTGCCCCGGGGGGCCCCA